ATATATATATATATATATATCTGTGTGTGTGTGTGTGTGTAATGTTGGTGTTATTCAATGGCCCCATTTCAGACACTCAATTGGAAGTCTACCTCCCTCTCGTTAAAACTAAAATTGAAATTAAAATCACGAAAAGCTCAATAAATATCACAATGAATATTTATTTGTTTTTCTTTGTTTGTCATTCTTAATAATTCCTGTTAATGCTCAAATATCAATCAATATTTCTTTATGAAATATTTTTAACTAACACAAATTCTTATGAAAACTAAAACATTTATTTAATGAAAATAATTTATCTAATTTCAATTATTACAACTAAATTTATGTCATTATCTTTTACACACTACAATGCTCTTCAATAGAAACTTCAGAGCAACTTGTGAGTTAGAAACTTATTTCATCATGTAACCGAGGACATGAATGTCTTTTTAGACCTTTCATACGTATAAATCCCACCTCAAATGTTTGACCATTTTGTCAGGGGGTAATTTGTGAGTTTTCAAATTATAGAGATAATCTACTACTCACTCTGTATTACCGGGGCAACTTGTAATTAAGCCAAATACTGCTACTAAATGTTGTTAGAATGGCTGGCCATCAGAGCAATAATCTTCCGACCGGAGTAATTTTTATTCAAATACCAACATTACCCTTGACTAGTAAATCCCATATATTGTCATTGATTTTGTTGGACCCATTGTCCACTAATTACTCTTTTTGCTTCCCTCTCTAATTAATTGACTAGTTTGCCTTCTTATTCTTTCTCTTTAACTTATTTATTTATTATTTGGATTAATCTTCTATATATTGAGTGTATACACTGTCATGTTTGGATGAATGTTACATATGCTAAATTTGAATTTCAAATATGAATTTCACTTATGTGGCATTCATTTAATCATAATAGTGAATAAACTGTCAGTGTATATAAAATTTACTCTTATTATTTTTGCAAATCACTGATTTGGTTTTGAGTTTTTTTACCATAATGTTTTCTTATAGTGTAATTCTTTTGTTTTAGAATGCCCTTATTTTTTATTTTCAAAGTTGTATTTAAAAGTTATTTTTTGTGAATACAATGTGGTTTAACTCAAACAACTAACAATCTAAATGAAAATAATCCAAAAAATGTAGACACACTGTTCCTTCAATATTATGGATGTAGAACATAATGCAATTTAAAATTAATTTAATCTAGTTATTGAAAAAATTATGGACACATGTTGAAGTCAAGATTGATATAATAATTGAACAACTCATGATTTACTCCTATGTAAGCAACAAGTCACAAGTCTAACTTATGATTTATGATTAAACCCAAATTCATGGTAAAACAAAACTTGAAAAAGACTTTATATAGAATCTATAATTTGATACTACTAGAATGAATTAACAAAAAATAAATAAATAGAACAAAATAAAAAATGTACAATATTGCTATAATTGCAACAAAAAATTACTCAAAAGATGAGAACTTTGAATCTCATTATAATTGCAACAAAATTCCATCCTAAATTTAATCAAAATTTATGATCGCTCCAAAAAAACTATAAGCAAAAATTATTTGATAGAAAACATAATGGAATAAAACCAAAAATGAAAAGAAAAAAGCAGGAAAAAAATTACTGATATTGATGGAGAAATAGCAAAAGCAATGTGGAGAAGAATATATGCAAGTCTTGAACTACATAGTACATACTGCTAAGGTCTCAAGAGACTGAAAAGAAATTGTAAAATAGGAAAGATGCAGAGAGAGATCGTAAGGTGGGAATAAGAGAGAAGAAAAACTGGTTGCTGCATTAATAAGAAAGGGGGAAAAAAGAGTAATGAGTGAACAATCAACCCCAACAAAATCAATGGGAATATATGAGGTTGACTAACTGAGGGTAATATTGGTATTTAAATAAAAATTGCTATGACAGTATCGCTAGCCAATTAGAATACCTATTTTGTAGTTGTACTAGGTGGTGAGACCCCGCGTTCGACGCGGGGTGCCCATATTTGGTGAATTGGCTGTTGCTTGTTGGGAAAATTTGCTGGGAGAGAGGAACGAGTAACGTGAGTAGTTTTAGCAGAAGTAATTTATATTTGTAGAGATATTATGGTAATTTGCAAGTAATATTAAGTTTTTGGTGATTGAAAAGATGGATAGAAAAGTGAAAGTCACATAACTTCTAGTTTATCACCAAATAACAAAAGCACGCTGTTGTTTGAACTGAAACTAATACATGCCTAACCAGTGTTTTTGCATGTCTAACAAAAGTGGATTTTCTGTCATCTCTTCACTTGACTGGAGAGTTCAATCAACTTTTGGATGTTTTGCCGTCTTTGTTAGTTCTTCTTCAAGACTTCGTTTTACTGAAGATGAGGGACCTTTGTGGCTGCCTTGATCCACTGAGACAACAGATAAAGTTGACGTTGCAATGAGAGTCGGGGAAACTGGTTCAATGTAAGCGGCAGTTTCTGTGGTGGTGTCTTTTACAAAGGATGGTGGAGTTGCAACTAACTCTGATGATTGTGTTTCAGCAATTTGATGAGCTTCTGGATGTTGTTCTGGTTCTTCTGGAATGAAGGTTGTGAGGAAAAATAATGGAAGAAGATGCTTCTGAGAGGGAAGATATGATCTCATCTCACAGAGAAAATTTTGATTTTGCAATTTTTCAGTAATTCTGCTAAAAGGCAGCAATTCTCCCTGTAAAAAAATAACTTTTGTTACTGATTCTGGTAGACAATATTAATTGAAATTATATCTGTTCGTATAATTATATCAAAATTAATCTACCTGTAGATGCTTCTCATATATTTGAGTAGCGGTGTAATCAATGAGGGTTTCAGCATTTAGATCCTCTACTGTTGCATCAATGAAACCAGTGTCGTCATAAATCTATGCTTGGAATTTAACTCTGCAGTAGGGATGATTGTTAGCACATGAGATAGAATATATGAAGGGTATCATAAGGAATTTTCAGAACTTAAAGATAAAGTTACTTTGGTTTGGGCTTTGTATCTCTGAGTCCACAGAAATTGCAATCAAATTCCATATCCATTGGAGCACCAGTGATTTTGTTGCAGCCAGTGCATATCGCAGAAAAAAATCGCTGATTGCAGTTGATGATTCTGATTTTTCCTCTGATCCAAAAGTTCTTTATCTGATTCAAACATAGTTATATATAGATGTTAATAAAATTGAATGAGCGAGATTATAAGATCATAAGGTATGTAGCTGATAATGTAGATTAGTGGTGCATATATGTCTATGTTTTACTGGATTTGATGATGCAAGAATCTGTCCAATCAAACGAAGTTCAGTGTTGGCTGGCGCAACTGTTTTTTGTTTATCTTTCTCATATAGTCTTTGATTGATAACTCTGTGAATGTAAGAAATATTCTCTTGAGACCTATCATAGTAAAAGCAAATGTTAATATTTATGTGGATAGTTATGAAGAGAATTTTGAGTAAAAGAAGGTGATATTTGTAAGTGAAAGCATACCAGATTTTGAGAGAAGCAGTCTGATGGAGTGGTGGATCCAGGACAATTGTACTATTTGGTCGAGTGCTAATGTCAATTCCTGATTAATTGCGCCAAAAAAGTAAATGAAGTTATGTTTATTTAAACTAAATGTAAATAGCATCAGGTTGATTTTGACTATATTTTTACCATGATAAGTGCTGATTCTAGGTCGTAGAATCAAAATTGGTGGATGAGTATGGATTCTGTTAACAAGCTCAAGACCTTCATAGTAAATGTAAGGTTCCCACATTGTGAATATCAATGGTCTACATCTGTAAATTTTAATATATGGATGATACAGTTACAAGTAAACGATCAACAAGTTGTTCATATATCAAATGCTTTATAACTATGTTTATTTTGTAGTTCTCACAGCTAAGATCATGAGATACTTACTCGGGATTGACAACTATGAATTTTTGAATTGTACGTGGTCCTCTTGTAGTACCAACCACTTCTTCTAGAAATGCATGGATTGCTACACACAGGATGTCTAGTTGAACATGAAAATTTTCTGATTAGAAAATGTACAGTAAAGTATCATGTAGTATTTATTATTCATGAGTTTTTATACTGAATCTGTCTGCATCACTATTCTTGTATTTGTCAAGACTCCAAAACGCAGTGATAGGAAAGGAGTCTGCTAGCTGAACTGAGTCCGTTTTGCCAACTTTCTTGATGAAGGCAGCTTTAGTGAGTGTTAACTGGAGTGGAACAGAGCCAGTTTGGTTTCTTGGATCAGTAATTGGTACAACAGCAGCATTTGCAATATAATAGGTCTCATAAAGTTGTAATTTGTCATGAACGTAATTGACATCTCTATTAAAGGCAATTGCTTGAATTGATTCATGCTGTCAAAACAAGAGAAAAAGTAGTAAACAAATGAGGAGATATGAATGATTTCAAATTTTGTTTACCGTTTGGTTATTTAATCCTGCTGTTTTCTAATTGATAACCAAGAAACTCTAACAATTGTTTACAAAGTGATTTATTGGTATATAGAATTTGATATGTACAGTTTACATAATTAAATTTTAGTATTCTTAAATTTTAGTATTTCAAAATTGAGTTGTAGACATAATGTGTATTCGGATAACCTTTTTTCTTTGCTGGACAAACAAGTAACTAAGTGAGCAAATGAAGTGTTTATCTGACCTGTTGATCTGAAAACATTAGTCTGATGAAGCAAGAACCTTGATTCTTTCCTGGATAGATTGGTGATTTTTCGGTGAGAATTCCCTTAATCATCCAATCTTTTGATTCATGACTCAAACTGCTAACAGGAATACATCTGTCATCCATAACTACAATATATGAAATATATAAATTAGTGAACACAATTATTAGCAATTATAACAGAAAATCATAAAGGACAGGCATGTTGAATATGATAAACAAAGCAGAATGCGTTGGAAATGATTTAGATGCAAATTGATATGAACTAAGTATAAAAGACATGATAGATAGAATACAAAAGGCTGGTACTTAAGTAGCAGTTGCAGCTGCAAGTATTTCTTCATAAACAATGTTTCGTGTACTACTATCTGCCATGTATTCAAGCACAACTGGTCTTAGAAGTATCTTTAGTTTTTCTGCAGTTCTTGCCCTTGACATTGCAACATACAATTGGCCATGTGAAAAGACTGGTTCTTTTAAATATATTCCAACAAAGTCAAGTGTCTGCCCCTGTGATTTGTTAATAGTCATTGCAAAACATAATGAAACAGGAAATTGAGTTCGCTTGAATGGTATTGGATAAGATTCATCATTTGAGCTATGCAGTGGAATTCGAGGAATGAAAACTTGTTTTCCACTGTGATTTCCTGAAGTAATCTGTGCATGAATAAGATTGCGAGCAAAATTTAAACAAATTAAACGTGTACCATTACACAAACCTTGGGCGGGATTCAAATTTCTAAGAAGAATTATAGGACAACAAGGTTTCAGGATTAACTCATGAGGCGGCAATCCTGGTGGCTGGATAGTGTTCAGAAAATCTCCATGATCAGCTTGCTTTGAAGGATCAAGTGTTTGATCAAAACTCATGTATCTTGTTTCTTGACCAGGAAATCTTTGAATCAAAAGGTTATTTACATCATGGACAAAGTCATTTGTTGTAGTAAGAATGGCTCTATTGGTGACGTTTGAGCTATTGTGAATAAAATCAGTGAGTGATGGATAAACAGCACTTATTAACTGATCAAGGGAAACAGCATCATTCATGAAAGGAATTAGGATAGATAGTGGCAGTTGAATTTTGCTGTCTCCAAATGTTGGTTCTGTCCCATTTCCAATTCTGAGCAAAAGATCAGAAAATTGAGGATCCAATCTAGCTCTCATATTTTCAGTCAGATGCATTTTTTGTAAATGAGGCCAGATGTAAGAGTTGACAAGTGATGCAGATATATAATCGTCTTTCTGACCTCTTCGAACAACAGGGAGAGTTTGTCGAAAATCTCCACCAAAGACAATGATTTTGCCACCGAATATAGTATCACAATCTAGAATATCACGAAGCATTGCATCAAATGATTCAATTGCATATTTTTTAGCCATCGTTGCTTCATCCCATATAATCAACTTTGCAAGTTTCAGAAGCTTACTGATGCTACTTTGTTTTGAAATGTTACATGTTTGCTTGATGTCTTGGTGGAGTGGAATCTTGAAGCGAGAGTGTGCCGTGCGTCCTCCCGGCAATAATGATGCTGCAGCACCAGATGTTGCTGTTGCAAGTGCAATATAACCTCTTGATCTCACAGTTGCAAGCAATGCTTTGTATAAAAAAGATTTACCAGTTCCACCAGGACCATCAATGAAAAAGGCAGCAGGAGCATTTTCATTGATTTTTTGCATTATTTTGTCGAATGCAGACTTTTGTGCACTGTTTAACATTGATACTGCAGCTAAATCTTCATCAGAAATAGGTATCTGATACTCAACTTCAATTTCTTTGACAGACTTATCTGCACACAACATCTGATAAGGAATATCTGTGAGATTGTAATCAGTTATATCTTTTCCCATGATCTGAAGATGTTGATCAATCAAGTTAAGAACTTGAATTTGTACTTGTTGCTGCGATAATGCTAAGTTTTGTCTAATGTCTTCTGACAAATGATTTTCGAATTTCAACCAAGCATCTCTTGGATTTGTTGGTGTACAGTGCACAAGTAACACAGCAAAAAGTTGTCTAAGGGAACATGGCATCTTGTATACAAGTGCCTCAGATAAACATTCATCAAAACCACTGTCCGTCTGGAGTAATCCACGAAGTGTTGCAGTTCTTTATATGAGGATGCCTGGCAACCGTTGACAGATTTTAACTCATCAAAAGAGGTTGGTTTTCTTACATGCATAAGTAACATTCTGAGGTAATATCTTTCTCCCTCAACAGGGTGTGCTGTGTTAATACGACCGATGACCTCTCCACGTTTCCTATCAATCCATATCCTGTCACCTTCATCCCAAGTAAAGTACCGAGGAAATTCTCTATAGAGACAATTGAGATCCTGTGCTCTTTTATTTGTTCGATTCATAGACAAGAATTCTGTCAACATTGTCCTTAAATTTCTTTCATTACGAAGAACATCTTGCAATATCTGATCTTGAGTGAATGATATAGGCTGATAATTTTCCAGATGTAAGTGCATTGTCATCACTGATGGATGAATGTTGGTTAAATCAAATGCAAATATCCTCCACATAGCTTCAGGAGCACAAATCCATCTAGCAGATTGAAAGTTATGAATCTCATCAATGATATTTTCTGTCTGATGAGTTGTGATCTGATACATAACTTTGTCGTGTCCCTTGTAGATATACTTGTAAATATATTTGACTGCTTCAATAGCAGAGCATATCTCGACATTGATATGACAATCAAATTTTGCAAGTAGATATGCATTATATGGTACAACCCATCGGTTATCAAGCAAATGTTCCCTGATAATAACATTTTTTCCATCATTTCGCCTTCTATAAACAGGATAGGAATTTCTTGCATGTTTAGTGTATGCAGAGAATTCTTTTGGATAGTTATTTCTGCACTTTCCATTTTGACGCATACAGGGGTTGTTTGGATTCAATGTGCCACATGGTCCATGAAGCATGTGCTTTATCACCAATGAATATAAATACGGTGACTCTTTTGGATCTGGTAACTCTGCAGAAACAATTCTATCATATGCCTCAGGAGAAAACATTTTTGATCCTTGTTTGAGGATAATCAGGAAATGAGCATGTGGCAATCCTCGCTTCTGAAATTCAATGACATAAGTATAAGCTGCAACTTCACCGAAGAGATTTCTTTTGAACAAATCATCTTTTAACTGCTCAATTTTTGCTCGGAATACCCGAGAAATCAAATCTGGTCTATTTTGAATTTCATCTTCATCTGATAAATGTAGTTTTATCTCTGGCCAGGATGGATTACATGTCATTGTGAGAAAGATGTCAGGTTTTCCATATCGTTGAACAAGTGACATGGCATCCATATATCTTCGACGCATGTCTCTGGGACCTCCTATAAAACTTGCTGGAAGAATAATCCGTTTACCAATTCTTGATCCTGAAGTCTCACCACTTGTTACACTATCCATTAATCCTTGATAAACCTCAGTTCTTAAGTGTTGCTGCCTGTGTCTGTGGAATTCCAACCGTGATGTCTCCAATTTAATATAGGTTTCTACTGAATATTGCTGCAGTAGTCTTCCTATGTGTAGTAAATTTGACTGATCACCATCTCTGACCTGAAACTTATATGCATAATATTCACGACAAGATACTGTTGGTCTCTTGATTTTCTTTTTCTTGGAGACTGTTAGAAATCAGCAAGAATATGAATTAGTTATTGAAGGGACAGACTTAACATATAAGTAAATTTGCATAAATATTTTGGAACTGTATTGATCGTAAAGACTGATAATATAAATGAGAAATTGAATAGAGAGCAGCAAAATATAAATGTATTTGAATGAGTTTTTCTGACATTGCGATTAATTTTGCAACTGATATCAGTACCTTTTTCTTCGGCAGATATGACTTCATCAATGTGTGAGCAATTTTGGATTGAGAGGATATTTTGGTTCTGGCATGTTGAACCTAACTGGTTAAGAACATCTGATCTTGGTATCCGCAGTATATCCTTGTGCCATCCAGTCTCACCCTTTGCAAATATAAGTGGATACTGAAGTGTATCATAGCAGCCGTAATATTGCTTTAATATGCGCTTGCTTCCTGTTTTTGTGAAAATCTGGATATTCCGAGTGCCATCACCAGTGTTATAATCATTTTCATTCCACATTGCTGCTACCTGAGACACTGCAGGAAGGTTGTAGACTCTTTGATCTAAACCTGGATCTGATTTCAAGAAAATTTTATGATCTTCAAGATCATGAAGGTCCACCAAACTTCTGATGAAAGTGGAATAAGGATTATCATGAAGAATATCCTTGAGTTGATGGATAATGGATTCCCTGAACTTGCTAGAAATTGCCATACGATTGGCTATTTCATGTTGCGTGTCATAAAAATATAGTTGCAAGTTTGTTGCTCTTTCACCCTCAGAAGGAACCAATGGATTAATAAAATGGTAAATCTGGCCCTGTACTCTGAACGTATATATACCATTATTCCTTCTGCTAAAATTTTTATCATAATGAACGCCAAGGGATGTAAAAGCAAACATGTTATTATAGCTCCTGATGCACAATTGAAATTCTCTAGCTTCAGGGGTATTTGCCTTGTAAAGTTGAACTAATTTTTCTGGCATTTGAGTTTCTGCTAAGTGAATTTCACCTGCTGAACAACAAAATTTTGGTGGCTCCATGTAGAATCGCTTAGCATGACAAAAGATACAGTCTGGAACGTCTGGTAAAACACTTGGGTGAACTGGTATTTGTTGCAACAATGATATGTTTTTTCTTCTACGACGTGGACCTATACAATATGGAATATAGGCACTTCTAACTGACAGGAGAATGGAAAAAAGTATGAAGAATCTCAGTCACACTTATATAGACATACGTATATAGAAATCTATAGTATATAGCTACCAGTTGGATGCTGCAGATTGCTGGTTGATGGCCGGTCTTCAGATAGAACAATTGATAGTAGAGGATAGCAAGATTCCAGAAGAGATCACAACAAAAAAGAATGGGCTTAAAAGAGAGGGAAGTTAATAGTTCTTAGTATATAAGAAGAGAACAGAGATATAGTTGATAAATAATTCGTAAGCCTACCTAAATCTACAGCTGAGGAATCATCAAAGATATCTGTTTGAAAAGTTGTCCAAGGAAGGATGTTTTGAGAAAGCAGACAATCACTTGTTGCAAAAACTGTTAGTAGAAGAAAGGAAATAAGCAACAATAATTTGTGAGCTTTCATGAAAATTTGACGGTTAGTACAAAACAATTGGTTTAGGAGGCTCAAGAGTATACTTTCGTCAACAGTGTCATTTGTCGAGCTGAAATGCATGGCTGACTGATCAGAAGAACTAACAACAGGCATTTGAAAACATGTACACCCAGCTTTCAATAGAGCTGAAAGTGATACATCATTATGGATAGAAGCATCAACAAGTGTATCATCTATTGGAGAAAAAGACATAGCATGAGAACCGTGACTGAATCTGTTTTCATATTCAGTACTCTGTTGTGTTTTTTGTTGTCTCTCAGCTGCTTTCTTAGCATATCTTTCTCGTCGGCGCTGATTAACTTGTATACGACGCTCATCTTCAGAAATAGATTTGCGCTTTCGGCCCATATCACAAGGTCACTCTTAATGGCAAAAGTCACAGAAGTGACAGTGAATCTCATGGCAGAAGTTCCACGGTATTGATTATATAACAAGTGTAACAAACAAGATTCATAGAAAGTAGAAAAACATAAAAATGCGATGGTAATGAATGATAACAATAACAAATATGTTTAAATGAAATAGAAACAAGAAGAGAAAATATAAGCAAATGATATAGGTATCAGATTAACATGCAAAATCCAAATTAAAAAGAAATGCAGGTACCTTGAAAGTGGCGCAAGAAAAACTTCACAATCCAAATTAGCCAGGAGACAACTGATGGAAAAGCAGATATCAAAGGAAAAATGTCAATATCCTAAAACGATATGCAAACGATAACTAAATTTTGATGTTTATAGTGTAAATATCAGTTCTAAAAAACAGAGAATATAATGCATATATACATTTTGCGTTCACTATGACACTTTGTTTATATATTAGCCAGCAAAATACAATAGACCAACAGAAACGTAAGAGAGAAGACATTCATGAAAAAGACAACAGAAACAAAAGAGTTTATGAGAAAGAAAAATCATGTGTCCTACATCATGCACACATGAGACAGCATAGATGAGAGACAGATGAGCAAAAGGAAGCAAAACCAGAACTCACCAGCAAGACAAAGGAGGGAAAAAGTAAAACGCGAGCGGAACAAAAGAACACGAAACTTCTATGATTTTCAACCAAGAACAATCACCAATGCATCAAGGCTTTTACCCTTTAAGAAATTTGAACTTTGATTCACATTTGTTTTTCTAAAAGGTTGATTCACGGGTACATATTTTTGGATCACATAACAAATGTGAGATATTTATTGGTCGCTATTATATGGCAATGCGGTATACAAAATAGCCACGTTGGTTTAATAATATATGATGACGTAGGAAAAGTGATAATGGGTGATATATAATGAGGTAAGAAAGCTCATTTGTCTATTGCACATACCAAATGGTTTATAAATTGGTTCCTAGACCAAGCCTACAAAAATTTTACCAAGCCCATTACTCCTACAAAAAGAAAAGGAAAAAAAAAAAAAGAAAAACCGAAATAGCAAAAAGCTTCTTATGCTCAAAACGAAATCAATAAAAATTAAAAGGGTAAATTACTAAAACCCCTCCCCCCCAAAAAAAAGCTAATAAAAATTAAAAGGGTTAAATACCCAAAACTCCACTGTGGTTTAGTGACTGTTTAACCTATTTCTTTATAGTTGTGAAACTTGGAATTTATCCTCTGATGGTTTTTTAATTCTTGAAAATTGTCCTATGGTTTAGCAAATGTTCAATTGATCCCTTATAGTTTTGCAACCTGCAACCTAGCCCCTTGTGGTTCATTAGTTTTGAGATTGGGATGCGGATAGCCAAAAAAAAAAAAACCAAATTTGCAAGAAACATGCATTTGGAGCTTTTTATTCTTTTGGATGTAAAAGTGCTTGTGACACAAAAAATGTGACTTAACTTGCCAACTATACCTTTTGATGCAGCATGAAATACCCAAATCATAGTCTACCATTGGTCCAAATGTTGAAGAAGAGAAAGCAGTAGACTTGAGGAAAAAATTAGGCTTATGATGTTACATAGCGGGTGTGATGGGATTTGAAAATAGATGTAAAAACTTAAAGGCTTAATTTTAAGTTGCACCCTGTAATATAAGTTGGGTAGCAAATATTGCCCCTGGTAATCAATTGGTCAAACATGTAGGTTAAATTTTATTATGTATGTGAGATGTGAAAGGATAGTCATGCCCCTCGTATACATAATGCTTTGATAATAGTGTCCTTAGAAGATTATATTATTATACTTTTCTATAAAAAATTTTGTAGTATCTAAGAAATAATGATACAATTATAGATATAAATAAGAAAACAAAGAAAAATAAAAGTGAATTACATCTCATGCCAATATGTAATTTTCATTTTTTGCGATTGGGAATTATTTTTGAAAATTATATATATATATATATATATATATATATATATATATATCTGTGTGTGTGTGTGTGTGTAATGTTGGTGTTATTCAATGGCCCCATTTCAGACACTCAATTGGAAGTCTACCTCCCTCTCGTTAAAACTAAAATTGAAATTAAAATCACGAAAAGCTCAATAAATATCACAATGAATATTTATTTGTTTTTCTTTGTTTGTCATTCTTAATAATTCCTGTTAATGCTCAAATATCAATCAATATTTCTTTATGAAATATTTTTAACTAACACAAATTCTTATGAAAACTAAAACATTTATTTAATGAAAATAATTTATCTAATTTCAATTATTACAACTAAATTTATGTCATTATCTTTTACACACTACAATGCTCTTCAATAGAAACTTCAGAGCAACTTGTGAGTTAGAAACTTATTTCATCATGTAACCGAGGACATGAATGTCTTTTTAGACCTTTCATACGTATAAATCCCACCTCAAATGTTTGACCATTTTGTCAGGGGGTAATTTGTGAGTTTTCAAATTATAGAGATAATCTACTACTCACTCTGTATTACCGGGGCAACTTGTAATTAAGCCAAATACTGCTACTAAATGTTGTTAGAATGGCTGGCCATCAGAGCAATAATCTTCCGACCGGAGTAATTTTTATTCAAATACCAACATTACCCTTGACTAGTAAATCCCATATATTGTCATTGATTTTGTTGGACCCATTGTCCACTAATTACTCTTTTTGCTTCCCTCTCTAATTAATTGACTAGTTTGCCTTCTTATTCTTTCTCTTTAACTTATTTATTTATTATTTGGATTAATCTTCTATATATTGAGTGTATACACTGTCATGTTTGGATGAATGTTACATATGCTAAATTTGAATTTCAAATATGAATTTCACTTATGTGGCATTCATTTAATCATAATAGTGAATAAACTGTCAGTGTATATAAAATTTACTCTTATTATTTTTGCAAATCACTGATTTGGTTTTGAGTTTTTTTACCATAATGTTTTCTTATAGTGTAATTCTTTTGTTTTAGAATGCCCTTATTTTTTATTTTCAAAGTTGTATTTAAAAGTTATTTTTTGTGAATACAATGTGGTTTAACTCAAACAACTAACAATCTAAATGAAAATAATCCAAAAAATGTAGACACACTGTTCCTTCAATATTATGGATGTAGAACATAATGCAATTTAAAATTAATTTAATCTAGTTATTGAAAAAATTATGGACACATGTTGAAGTCAAGATTGATATAATAATTGAACAACTCATGATTTACTCCTATGTAAGCAACAAGTCACAAGTCTAACTTATGATTTATGATTAAACCCAAATTCATGGTAAAACAAAACTTGAAAAAGACTTTATATAGAATCTATAATTTGATACTACTAGAATGAATTAACAAAAAATAAATAAATAGAACAAAATAAAAAATGTACAATATTGCTATAATTGCAACAAAAAATTACTCAAAAGATGAGAACTTTGAATCTCATTATAATTGCAACAAAATTCCATCCTAAATTTAATCAAAATTTATGATCGCTCCAAAAAAACTATAAGCAAAAATTATTTGATAGAAAACATAATGGAATAAAACCAAAAATGAAAAGAAAAAAGCAGGAAAAAAATTACTGATATTGATGGAGAAATAGCAAAAGCAATGTGGAGAAGAATATATGCAAGTCTTGAACTACATAGTACATACTGCTAAGGTCTCAAGAGACTGAAAAGAAATTGTAAAATAGGAAAGATGCAGAGAGAGATCGTAAGGTGGGAATAAGAGAGAAGAAAAACTGGTTGCTGCATTAATAAGAAAGGGGGAAAAAAGAGTAATGAGTGAACAATCAACCCCAACAAAATCAATGGGAATATATGAGGTTGACTAACTGAGGGTAATATTGGTATTTAAATAAAAATTGCTATGACAGTATCGCTAGCCAATTAGAATACCTATTTTGTAGTTGTACTAGGTGGTGAGACCCCGCGTTCGACGCGGGGTGCCCATATTTGGTGAATTGGCTGTTGCTTGTTGGGAAAATTTGCTGGGAGAGAGGAACGAGTAACGTGAGTAGTTTTAGCAGAAGTAATTTATATTTGTAGAGATATTATGGTAATTTGCAAGTAATATTAAGTTTTTGGTGATTGAAAAGATGGATAGAAAAGTGAAAGTCACATAACTTCTAGTTTATCACCAAATAACAAAAGCACGCTGTTGTTTGAACTGAAACTAATACATGCCTAACCAGTGTTTTTGCATGTCTAACAAAAGTGGATTTTCTGTCATCTCTTCACTTGACTGGAGAGTTCAATCAACTTTTGGATGTTTTGCCGTCTTTGTTAGTTCTTCTTCAAGACTTCATTTTACTGAAGATGAGGGACCTTTGTGGCTGCCTTGATCCACTGAGACAACAGATAAAGTTGACGTTGCAATGAGAGTCGGGGAAACTGGTTCAATGTAAGCGGCAGTTTCTGTGGTGGTGTCTTTTACAAAGGATGGTGGAGTTGCAACTAACTCTGATGATTGTGTTTCAGCAATTTGATGAGCTTCTGGATGTTGTTCTGGTTCTTCTGGAATGAAGGTTGTGAGGAAAAATAATGGAAGAAGATGCTTCTGAGAGGGAAGATATGATCTCATCTCACAGAGAAAATTTTGATTTTGCAATTTTTCAGTAATTCTGCTAAAAGGCAGCAATTCTCCCTGTAAAAAAATAACTTTTGTTACTGATTCTGGTAGACAATATTAATTGAAATTATATCTGTTCGTATAATTATATCAAAATTAATCTACCTGTAGATGCTTCTCATATATTTGAGTAGCGGTGTAATCAATGAGGGTTTCAGCATTTAGATCCTCTACTGTTGCATCAATGAAACCAGTGTCGTCATAAATCTATGCTTGGAATTTAACTCTGCAGTAGGGATGATTGTTAGCACATGAGATAGAATATATGAAGGGTATCATAAGGAATTTTCAGAACTTAAAGATAAAGTTACTTTGGTTTGGGCTTT